GGCTCATTTCTATGATATTGTTCTTTTACATATGTACAGACGCAGGAGAACCTTATGCCATGAGAATAATGAAGGCAATAACAAACACTTGTTCGGGAGCAAGCAAATGTTAACAGGAGCGAAGCATTTCTACTGGTGGGTGAATGGTACTTTCTAAAATGGAATAGTTAAGTTTAGCGCATTCCCTGATCCAGCAAGTCTTTCTTTTTATCCTCCCTTCCCCAGCCTTAAACTTCATTCTTTTTTAGCTAAAAACATGCATATCAGCTCTTCAATTTGATTGCCTTATGGGCATAATGCTTTGCATATTTACTGCCCATGAATCATACCAGTATGTGAAACCTGGTGAAGATTCAATTTTTTCCTGCTAGATGCACCTCTAGCCGTTTAATTAGAATATGTATTATTAATAAAACTATATTTAAGTCATATTTTTTACAGATATGACTTGAAACATTAAGGGCAAATTGTTTCATACTTTCCCAGTAATTTGCTTTTAACGTTTTGTGCCTTAATCAAGGTAATGGCAGCAGCAGGTTTTCCGTGGTGCTTGCTATTTTTTCCATCTTTCAAATCGTGGGGAGGGGGAGGGAAAACACGTCTAAATGGGGGCTCTAATGAAAAGTCACATTTAGTTATTGGAAGAGAAAGCAGGAGATGAAAAAGAGGCAACTTTGCAGGAGAAGCTGCTTTGGAAAGCCAAGGTGTCATAAAATGTGTGTTTAGAAAAGTGCCTTTTACACACAAAGTTTGGCATGTAGTTTTTGCCATTGGAACCACACTTTATTACTTTAGAGATTTCTCTGGAACCTGCTTTCAGATGTCACTGTACTTCTGGTGTTTGTTCAACACATCTTCCTCTTGGTGGTAATAATCTCTTAGTATTACTCATGAGAAATCAGTTTAGTAATTCAAATTAGATGTATTGGAAAACATTTGTGTAGCAGAGAGTGTGGAATCAATAATAATCATTTTTTAATAATATCATGCCGACAGTACATGCTGAAAACATGACCACTTAAATGAAAATAAACCCAATGGCCATTTTAACAACCTGGGAATACCATCGTTGTGCTGAGCATTACTGGGTTACTCCTGCCCTGCAAAAACCAAGTCCGGGGGGGGGGGGCAGAATATTTCAGTGATGAGACAGAAGAGATTGCGTTGCCCTGCCAACTCAACAAGCTGCAGTAGTTCCAGCCTAAAACATATGACTGGAGCCCTTCTCTTTTCTCATAACAAAATCCACTACCCTTTTCTCTGATCCAAAATGAGTGGTGGGCCTGAGCAAGGGCCTCTTCTGAAGGTCTCAGGGCACAATTGTAACAAAAAGAAGGAAATGTTTGATGGAACCGTAACTTCCAGTTACTTTTGTTGTGGAGTTAATAGTGTTTTAGTTAATGTCATGGTGCAAAAGGACCAAGGCATTGACATCTCCAGCCCATCTTCCGTTTGGATATCAGCCAGCAAGCCAAGACCTTAAATCAAGAAATAGCTTCCTAAGATCTACAGAGATACTCGCAGGAACACCTCTGAAAGTGAAAGTCCAAAGCTGGTAGGCTAAAACTCGGAAATCCAATCAGTGGCTGATACCAGAAGAGAAATTCTTCCCTGGACATACAGAAGACAGGACAACTTGGAAAGCGCTGAACAGACTGCACTCTGGCACCACGAGATGCAGAGCTAACCTTAAGAAATGGGGCTACAAGGTGGAGTCCATAACAAGCGAGCGTAGAGAAGAGCAAACCACAGACCACTTATTGGTCTGCAACTTGTGCCCTGCCATATGTACAATGGAGGACCTTCATACAGTGACACCAGAGGCATTCAAAGTGGCCAGCTTCTAGTCAAAGGAAATTTAGGATAATGTGAAGTTTTTAACTTTGTTTGTAGCTTTTCTATATATTAAAAATGTATTCTCCATTCACTTATGACATAACTAAAAGTTATTGTTACAAGTACAAAGAATGAGTTTTCATGATCAAGCAGGAATTTGAACCCTGTTCTCCAAAGTTGTAATCCAAGATTCGAATTTCACACAACACTAGTTCCATGAGTGGAACTCTAACTGCAATGAGATATTTATAGAAGTAACATTTTAAGACATATTTCTACTGTTGGATCAAGGAAGAGTATCTTCACCAAGTCTTTCATCTGGTGATAAAGTAACATATATAGAGACAGGCATGTAGCCGGGGGGGGGGGGCTTGGGGGGCTTCACCCCCCCCCCCGAAATTCTCATGGTGGTTCACGAAAAGGCCTTACTGGTGCATTATTTAAACTGTTATGTTTATTCATATCATAATCTGATCACCATACTCAATATATCCCATATGCATGGGGGTATTGGGGTAATGATACAAAAGGTTTGCTAGGGTAGACCCTCTTTCACTCAGACTCCGCCCCCCCCCCGAAACTCAGCCCCCCGAAACCCCCCCTGAAAAAAATTCAACCCCCCCCCCCAAAACGAAATCCTGGCTACGGGCCTGTATAGAGATAATCTCATCCAATATCTAGAATAAATATTGCCTAAGCCTTAAGTCATTTAGCCAGACTTGAGTTTGGAGAGGCTCAAGGAGAAGAGCACCCCAAATTTGTGATGTCAATACACCAAGAAATATCTGTTTTATCCCTGGCAAAAGTGTTCTTGGCAGTACTGTGTTTTGCAAGCTGAAGGAAAAGCTAGACTTAGTTATTGGGAAAACAGGTATACCTATTTTAAAGGAAAGGCTAGACTTAGTTATTGAGAAAACGTGGTATACCTGTTGTAAAAGTATGCCGAAAAAATCTGTCTAAATAGTTACTAGTTTTTTTAATAGTTAGATTTTTTTTTAAAAAAAATGAAAATTGAGCATGCAAGTTTCTCAACATCCAGGGCATGTTTTGGGGTTTTAAATGTATATATCTTTGTACAACAATGGTAGGACTTAGATAGATAGATAGAATATCATATATTGTGTGTAGCTCAATTATTTAGAAACAAGCACACATGTTTACAGAATGTAAAGGCTGTGCATAAAGGACTGTTCTCAACTTAAGACTTTTACAGATTTAAATTGCCACTTTAGGTATTTTGCGTTTTCATTTCTTCTCTAATTAAAAGGTCTTTATTTCTCTTCTTTTTTCTCTATCTCTTTATTTTTTTTACAATGACAATTACATCCACCCCCAAGTCATCAATAGTTTGTAATTTATTTGTTTCTCCAGCTGAGCCTAATAGTTATTGATTTTATTGGAGTAATTTGCTGGAAATGATTTTTTAATGTTAAATTTATTACAAGGCACTTCATTTATAACATAATAAGTGAAGTAAATTGTATTATTTTTGCTTACAGTTTTTTAAAATCCCAATTTGAACAAACTCTCTGATATTTCAATGTGTAGAAATATGAGATGACCTGAATCATTTACATTGTAATCCTATGTCAACTAAGAAGATAGGTCACTGAGCTCAAAGGGATGTCTTCCGAAGTAATAATGATTGGATTACAGCTATACACAATGATGGCTGGTGATTTCTGTATCAATGGACAGTGAATCCAAAGTTTAAATCTCCAATTAGGTTTAATATTTAGAATAAGGCTTGAATAAAGTTTGGAGAAAGACTTGGACCAGATTTGAAACCCCACTGATGAGGAAGCCACCAGGTGCCGTTGATCTGAAAGAGTAGATTGAAATGATCTCTTATGAGAGTTTGATTGCCTTATTTATTTTATTTTATTATTTACTTTATTTTTATCCCAACTTTCTCGTAATATAGGGAATCAAGGCAGTGAATATATATGTATGTATGTATGTGTGTGTGTGTGTGTGTGTGTGTATATATATAAACAATACTACTTAAAACAGTCCAAAGACCTTCAAATATAAATATAAAATTTAATAAACAATTAAACAATTAAACAATGTATGCTGTTAAAATACTAAATCTATCAAATCTATCAAAAATTTGCACACCCCTGAAAATTCCAGCCACATTAGCTTTAAAATCTCCATTCTCATGTGTTTATAAATGGCAGAAAAAGTTAATACCTGCCAACTATCTCTCTAGGGAGATAGTTCCAGAGGCTGGGAGTAGCCCCTGAGGGCCCTTCCAGACAGGCTCTATATCCCTGGATCTGATCCCACGTTTTCTGTTTCAGTCCTCACTGCTAGATAATCTGGGATAAACAGAAAACCTGAGATCAGATCCTGGGGTATAGGACCTATCTAGAAGGGCTGTGAGAAGGCCCTTTGGCTTGTTCTCTCCAAATGACCTTAAGAGAAAGTCCTCTCCAGATGTCTGGAGAGCTCTAATGTACTCACAAAGAGAGGCCCTTCCACACAGCTGTATGAAATCCACATTGAACTGGATTACATGGCAGTATGGATTTAGGGCCCTTCCACACAGCCGTATAACCCAGAATATCAAGGCAGATAATCGACAATATCTGCTTTGAACTTGATTATCTGAGTCTGCCCTGCCAGATAATCTGATTCAAAGCAGATAATGTGGGATTTTATTCAGTTGTGTGGAAAGGGCTTTAACTGACTTATTCAGCAACTGATTCAATGGAATTCCTTTAGCTGGGACAAGAATTACACGTAGGTCTTTAATTTTTTTTTAAAAAAAGATGTTTTCCTAAAACCGTGCTGACCAACAACAGTTGTGCTCCATCATTTTTCTCAGCACATCCTTTTGGTTCTAAATTGTTCAAGACTCAGTAATAGAGACTAGTTTCATGTTCTCTTGTTTAAATTTAGTAATATGTAACATTTCTGCGCTCCTCCATCTCTCCACTAGCTAGTTAATGTAAAAGTAAATTTATACAACAGTGTCTCTCCTTGAGGTTTCACTTTTGCTCCAAATCATCTTCAATTTGGCTTGGAAAATCACAACAGGTAGGTGGTATTGGTAGTGGAGGGCTCTCTCATTTTTGTCCCTCCCTCCTTTGTAAATTCGAAATGGCCCCCATATAAGTAGTGTTTAACTTTGTATGGGGAGAGATATGAATACTCACCTTGTTTAAGAAATTCCAGGATGCTACAAACAGCACACACATGTTGCTCTGTCTGATTTTATATCAAAATCATTTGGCAACTTCAACAAATAAAGCATTTGACTTGTCTGATTATGAGGCACACTTTCCATCAGCTATAGACTTTTCCACTTGCAGCCTGAAAAATAAAGAACAAGATACAATTCATTAACTGACTAATGAATTAATTAATTAATTTCATTTCAGTACAACCTTTCTGTCCAAAAAAATTGCATGAAAGGTTGCAATTATAACATTTCATTTTAAAATGACGACCTAAAACATACTTAAAGCCAATAAAATAGGTTTATCAAGGAGGAAAAAAACAGAAGAAATGTACAAAATAATTGAAGCAAAATAAAGGAATAATAGTTCTGCCTTATTGCTATGACATAGCTATTGTGTTTTTCTCCTGTATAAATTCTATCAACTTAGGTAGGTTGGTGGTGTAGGAAATGATGAACTGTTGAAATACAACATTCCAGGCAAATACTAATAAAATTGCATTAAAATGCATTTTAAAGAAATAAAGCAGATGCTTGAGTAGATTGAGGTAGATATTTGCACAAAATGTTATAAAGAAATCATTTTAAGCAACCTTTCCTTTCTGCGGGAATATAGTGCATAGGGATACTTTGGGGTCAGTTTCTACTAATTTCCAAGGAGATGGATCAACAGGGAAAGTATGGGAATGTACATGAGTTTGGTTTTTGATACAAACTTTCCAAGTTTGCAAATTTCTTCATCAATACTAAAATAGAAAGTTGACATTTTGTTAAAAAATAAATAAAATGGAGAGAAAAAATGTAATCTGCCAGATTTGTCCATATAGGACGTGGAGGGAGTAAATGAGGTCCCTTCCACACAGCTGAATAAATTGCCACATTTTCTACATTGAACTGGAATATATGGCAGTGTAGACTGGGATAACCCAGTTCAAAGCAGATATTGTGGGATTTTCTGTCTTGATATTCTGGGTTATATGGCTGTGTGGAAGGGCCCTGAGTAGCTTTTGAAAATCTGGGTTTCAATCCCATGTTTATGGTACTAAACCATGATTACTACCGAATTCACTATGCCAATTGAATCTGGCCAAGTCTTGGCAGTTAAGGATTTTGTCCTATTTATTTTCAGTAATAACCGATCAAAATCCACAGATTTGTATATAAATGGAATAGGAAAATGTTCTAAATGCATTTTAAAAAGAAAGGGGAAAGTGAAAACAACAGTTTCAGCTTCCCTCAGTACCATGCACTGGGAGCTATGTAAAGATAGATTATCAAATATTGCAATATTTACCATATAAAGTACTCCTTAAAAGAATGTATATCCAGCATCTTGGCAGAAAAGGTAAGAAGAGCAAACTTTGCTCCTTTCAGAAACAATTAACTCTTTCTTTAATGTAAAAACCAACACAACAAATCCTTTGGATTGATGTTTAAACCCCAGAATCTGATGTGTAATTCCATATATTTGTTTCAAGTTAAATTTTAAAGGTTGGTTTCAGGAAGAAAACAAGTGTGTGTGTGTGTCCTTATGAACTTTATATGAAACTGTAGTATGAAACATTGTGAAACTTGTAAAGACTTTAACAGGAAAAGCTGACCTCATGTATAAATTAATGTTTAAGGGTCTAGCGATTCCAACAAAACAGATGCCCTCCTAACTGCACGGGGATTGTGGGCTGATCTCACTTTCCTGTGAAATGTTCTTGTTGGTACCCTGGTGCTAGTTCTGTCGTTATTATGGATAGTAGAAATCCATCAACTTGTTTTTTATGGATGATTAAGAATGGCTGACCTTTCCCTCACAGGTACAAATAGGTAGTTTTTCAGTGGCTCTAAATGAGTGACAAGATAATTCCACCCATTTAATATTGAAGTGATGTTGATGATATCATTCTTCTCATGTTTGAAACAAGGAAGTATCGAGACCTTTCCCTCACTCTTGCACTGATCTCTGTGATGGATTTTCCCTGTGACTAATCGCTGTCGCATTAACCTGCACTATTTCATCCTTCGGAGCTGTCAAGATAATGACGATAATCGAAGGGGCTCATTGTAGGTAAAGGAAATTATATGAGCAAAGTAATATCATAAAACAGTGTTTAAATATTTTAATTTCATTTGTCAGGGCTGCCCCAACACTTCATTACACATATAACCATCTCTCATCAGTGGAATTAGTGCATTATTCATTACTGTTAATTATTTTCACATAATGGCTGCCCTGATATATTTAACCTCCACATTATATCTCAGATAATGGGCTTGTAAAATTGAATTGTGTGAAGAGTAGAGTTCTAAAGCTCATTTGCAGAACATCAAAGAACAAAGAAGAGGGAAAGAATTCTAAATGGGACATGTTACCCAGCTGGGGCCAAACATTTGTTTCTGTCTGATTTGCGTACAGAAAAATAGGTGGTTCAGAAGGGGGTTGGTACTTGATGCCTTCTGCTCATATTTCACAACTAATTAGTATTTGTTAATGACTTGCATGTTGGAAGCAACTCATAAGCTGCTCTGTGATATAAAGAATCTACCAAACTAGGAAGACTGCTGCAATGGGTTTAGATTCTGCTAAATTCACTTGATGGAAACTCTCTCTCTTATCTTGCCTTAGATGATATTCATACAGTATTGATTGTGTACAATAAAGTGTGGCTGAGCTTCATGCATCAGGAGTCACACGTGTATCACATAACTATATTTCTGTAGCTATAGAAATGGGTATGTTGGGGATTGTAACCACTTAAAAGAGGGGTCACTGTGTGGTTGGAAAAAATTCTGGCCTCTGCAGAGTGATTGTATAAGTATGACTCATGCCACCATAATTCACTAAAAGGGTGCCAGTCTTGATTTATAATTACAACTGGAGACAATGAAAATTCAACTAACACGGTTAGGTTTTTTTTTCTTAGAGAAACAACACAATCAGGACTGAGAGTATAAATGATAGCAGGTTTGGAAGGCTGTTGGTGGCTTGTATATGAACCCACTCCAGGCTTTAGTGTGAAAACTTTTAAACAGAGGCTGGATGGCCATCTGTCAGTGGTTATGCTTTTCCTGCATGGTAGGCATGTTGGACTAGATGGCCCATGTGATCTCTTCCAACTCTATTATTCTATGATTCTAAATTTAAAGGCGCAATCCAAACTTTTGATCTTTTAATCCAAAATAAGTGCAACACATTGAACAGCTACTTTGAAAGGCAGACTAAAACCCAGCATGGATTGACAGTCTTACTATTAACTATTGGCATGTTTAGCCAGCCACTATCTTGGCAGTGTTCCTGAACAGAAGCAGACAGCTAGCATAATGGTTTGAATTTTGGACTAGAACCTGGTTTCAAATCCTAATTCAGAACAAAAATCCACTAGGTTGCTTTGAGCAAGTCAACCCTTCTCATCCACAGAGAATGACAATGGCAAACCCTTTCTTAACCAGTCTTGCCAAGACAATTGAGTGGCAGGCTCATCTTAGTGTTGTTATAAATTGTAAATTACTTGACTGCACATAAAACAGCCAATTGAAATACATTTTTTCATGACTAACTTAAATCCTATTGATTTAGTATGATTTAATCTCAATCTGATCCACTGAAAAGAAGTAAGTTGGGTTAATTCCATCGGAAAAGAAGTGGATTGCATTCTGACTCATTTTAGTGTTGCTCCTGAGCATGTCCAAACATCTTAGGGCCCTGCCAAAATGCATGAGCTTGTGCGCTTTTGCCAGAGGCACCAAAACAACACCTTGGGTAAAAATTGAATTGGGTTGTTGTAGGTTGGGGACAAACCTAGAACAACAAAACAGGAAAGCCCTGCTTTGTCCCAAATTAATTTGGTGCCTGGTAATACCCAGATCTTTGGAAAGATCTTGGTCTTTCCAAGTGTGGGTCCAGTGTGAGTAGAGCCTGGGGACTGTGTCATACGATCCCTGGGCCCAATCTTCACGTTTCTCTTGGTTTTTTTTGGGGGGGGGGCATGAGCCTGGAAAGCTCAGGGAGCACCAACCCCCCTCCCAAGCCTGCCCCCAAAGTCCTTAAAATAGAAAATAACTTACCTGCTGAAGTCCTCCTGGCATGTAAAATTAATGTGCCAGGAGAAGGGAGGATGAGGAGCAATTTTCCTCCTACCCCTGCCTTCCTGGCACATCATTTCTAAGTACCAGGAGGACTCCGGTAGGACCTTAAAGGCAGCCAGGTAAGTTATTTTCTATTTTAGGACCTTTGGGGGGGGGGTGAGGTATCTCAGTGCCCTCCCGGAAGTTATTGGGAGGGCATCTGGACACTTCCCAAGGAAAGTGTACAGTTTAGAGAGAGGTGTAGGGACTAAAGGCTGCTCTGAATATGCTTCAGCACGGCCTTTCCTACAGCCTGGAAGCGCCCCTATTTTGTATTAGTGAGTAGGCATTATATATGCTTATAAGGACAAATCAAATACTGTCTTTGGGGACTGAGTCTACCATTAGGCATCAGAAGTCTGTTGTATGTTTAGGTCAGTTTTTTTAAAAAAAAATATACAGTTGCAAACAGGTTGTGTGCATTTGGAAAAATGAAATGGAAATGTCCAACCTCTCTCAACCTATTACCCTTGTTTGTTTGTTTGTTGTTGTGTTTTCACATCATGTCTGATTTATGGTAATTCTAGGAGGAACCTATCACTGGGTTTTGGGTAGGGGGACTGACCATGTTTCCCAAGGAACACCTAGTAAGTTTTCATGGCTACATGAGGATTCAAACCCTGGTCTCCAGAGTTGTAGTAAAACATTCAAACAACTATGTCAAAAGCCTCTAATAATATTTTCTGTAGCCAAATAAGTTTAGATTTTGTTTCCCCTGAAGCTTTAGAATGAGAAGGCTTCTACTGGATGAAATGGGTAAATGTATTATGCTTATTTACAATACACATGCTAAGTCGGCTCTTTTTAAAGTTAGTTGGTTTTCTTTGTTAGACAAAAAAAGAGTTGTCTACAAATGCAGTTCAGAATATACGTCAAAATGTTTAAGTTCTTTCAGATACTATACTGATGTGATCCTTTATTGAACTGAAACATTTCATCTAAAAAGACTGATTTTCAATCTTTTGAAGATTATCTCTTGGTTGAAGGGGGTGGATGTCAGAAGACCAAAAATGGTTTA